CAGTTAGGTTTGTTAAAAAATAACTTGATATTCTAAAAGCTTGTGGAACACTGAGCAACTTTTATATAGAACGTTTATTTGCATGTTGCTTCGTTTCGTAGCAAACTGCTAAACTTTTAGCTCACCTTAAAAAAAATTTCCATTTTTTGAAATTCCGTAACGGTCAATGTTTTTTGAATAACTCGGGTTTGACCAAACAAAAATGAACGAAATTTTTACTGACAGTAGGCTATCATAGTCTCCATCTATGGTAAAAATTCCAGAAAGTTTGCTTTCATCTGCGAGGAGATATAGTTGTTACAATGTAGAAAAATGAAATTCCGTAACGCTGGTTTTGCCCATATGTAAACATCCACATGGTTTCGATGATCGTATACATTTCTTTCGTCATCTTTATTTTATTTATATCATGATATTTCTCATTTTTTTTTCCAATAATAACTTCCATACTTGTCATATTCTTTCAATACAGCTGATTCTTTCCTTTTATCAGTTATAATGAATCATACGATCATTTAACATGAATAGTATATATGCTCATCCTTTCTTGTTTATTTATATAATTAACAAAGAATGCTCTTAAAAAAACGAAATGTAAACATCAATATCAACGATATTTTGGATGTTTATCAAAATAATCTTTAACCAAGTTCAATCATCGAATTCGATGACGAATTTGATTTTTTGATTAATTTCGATAAATGTTTTGTCATCTAGCTGTCCTTTTTTTATTACGTGATTGAAATATTCGTTTCCATTCAAATGTATTTGGCTGACGTACTAGTACAATGTATTTTGGGGAAAGACTTATAAATGTAATCGGTTGATAGGATGATCCAGTACAACATGTAAATATACATCGTGTAGGTTTTATTTCATCATCATAACGAACAAGTAGTTTATTCAAACGATCATGACCTAATTTTGTCTGAAAACCATTCAATATATGGATGTGAAAGATCACACATTGAGCAGCTAATATTGCTTTTTGTGTTTTGTTATATCTTCAGGTTCATTTTGATATTTAGGTACTATAGAATGAATAAACTTAGGCATTGAGATTAATTTCTCAACAAATTGAGATTAAAAATTCTTCGAGTAGAATTTTTTGATTTGTATTAGAACAAATCTGGTATATTTTTTTGGCTACCGGTAAAAACTGCTAACATCTACAGACATATATTCTAAGCAGCACTTTTGGTTTTCAACAGGAATATATACTTTTTGGTACACATGAACACTAATGGTTACTTCGATTTTTAATCACATAACATGGTTTATACAACTAAATTTTCTCTTAAACAATTTATTATAATTAGAAAATGTACCACTGAAAAGATCAACAAGAGATGATATTTTACTTAGACTATATCGAGAGAGTTCATGGATGTATGAATCCGATTGCAGAAATTCATTGAACCTCTCTCTTTTACTTCAACAGAACATTAGTGCCTATGTGTTTGCAACGATATCAAAATTCCAGACGCAACATCCTATGTAAAATCATAGGACAACACGGTTACTGCTGACCAATATTGTGGTATGGAAATGATTGCTATTTGAAGTGAGATATTTATTGTCAAACAAATAATTTCTTTTCTGAACAGTAGTGCATTATCATGACCCACAATACGACGTTCATCTATGCCATCAGGTATAATGCCTTCAATTGTAACAAATACAGCAACAATACATGCAGAGATCAATATGAGTATGCGTTTTCACATTTTTTTTTGTGGAACTCACGTATATTTTGGAAGAAAATAATACAAAGTGGAAGTTTACATCGAGATTTCTGTGGTTACCTTGCTCATGATGCGCTCGAAAGCTTATTGAACAATTTAATCAATATGTATAGCAGGTTCATATGGTAGTTGAACGACGAAACGATGAGTAAAATAATATTTGCTGCTTTTTATGGAATGTATCATATAATATATAATCATTAGAATAAAAGAAGCTATGTACTCAAGATGGATCTGACAATACAAACAATTTTTTTAGTATGAAGATGTTAAATGAGTCAAATAAATTGATGGAATAATAATTTGCCATGTAAAAATAAAATCTCAGAGTGCGCCAATCAACTATTAAAGATTGAGCGGACTTCTTCCCCCTCCCCTCTTATTTTGGACTATTTCTCGTTCTCAGAGAGAGTAAAATTGGTCGAACTCAGTTTTTACCATAGCTAGATTATAGAAAATGAGAGAACTAATGTACCAGAAAAAAATTTCAATGGTAGGTCTTCAAAAACTATTGGATTTGATTATGATCTTAGTCTATCGTTGTTCAATCGGGCTGAAACTTTTCTGGAGGTACATGGAACAAATATCAATTTCTCGGTTTGTAATTAGAATAATGTGGGAAGTGCCAGCTCTAATAAGGAATAAATTTAATCCGATCGGACAAAGTAAAGCCGAGATCATAAGTAGATCTGATGGCTCTTGAAGACTTTTCTTTACAATTTTTCCCTGGAACATTGGTCCCATCATTTTTGATAATCTAACTGTGGTAAAAATTTGAACTTGATCCATTATTCTCTCGTGTAGAATCAGAAGTAATTCAAAAGAGGAGCAGAATACCATTAATATTATGTATAAACGTGTTGACATATTTATTCTTTGTTAATACTACATACTGATTATCTATTTTAATAAAAAACTTGAATAGTTCTTATCACATCTGCATCAAGAAATATTTATTTCCTTGCATTGACTTTCATACAATAAATAAATCACTTAAACAACTGATATTATCATTGTGAAAAGTGATTGAGAAGTTTTAATATTTAATATATTCTCAAATCTTTCCCCTTTTTTTAAAGTTTAATGAACATAGTTTAAAGAATGATTTGTTTTCCAGCCTTGAGGAAAAACAACAATATATAATACATATTATACAACAATTAATATTCTAGCTTATAAAACAACAGCAACAGCTAAAGTAACATTAACAATGTCTATTTTATCTACAATCAAAACGACAATATCTACAGCTGCGAGCTTATATGAGCTAAATCTTGATAACTTTGCATTAATCACATAAAAGAAACGCTGTTTATATACAGACTTTGTATAGAACTTAGTAATTCCATATTTAAGTATTGTAGCAGCATAGACTCAAACTGGCATTTTTTGTTTTTATCAAAGTCAATGTGTTCTTCTAAGCGACCCCTTGATAAATGCTCTTATATCATGACAAGACATTTCCAAACTTCTATTCCAGATAAGTAATATTCTATTTGACCTTAAAGGAAAGAATACCAAAAGTAAAAAAAAATCAGATAAACATTTTTTTGCGTAGACTTTAGAAACAGATTAATTAACAATCTAAACAAGACTCTATGTTACTCAGTTTCTTATTTTAGTTTTTTTTTCTTATCATCAAAGATATCACATGACATTGGAAGGTCGCTAGCTGTTCGCAATAGTTATGCATGTAGCCATACATCGATCTGATATGTCACTGAGTCCAAGCTGTGTGTTATGCATTCCATCCAATGACAAAATAAAACGTTTTTAAAAACATTTGTTTTTCTTTTAAATTATTAAATATATTCAATAATTTTAATAACTATTACAACTACAACAACGACTACATTATATATTCGTAATGTTGACGTTATTTTTCCAGAAAAAATAATATATAGAACAACAATGTACACAACCTGATCAAAGTTGCAACATAATTTATAAGCTTTATTTTTTTTTTAATAAACATTCATCTTTATGCGATGATTAATCTATTTGTAAAAAATAAACTCACATTTGCAAAAACAAACTTTAAATAAAAATTCGAAATAAATATCGAATTTGATTTTGAAATCTATCAATTGAAAATATATGTTTGTGTTAAACATATTGTATTGTGTGTGAGTGTATCTTTTGGGTTTATGACTGTGTATGTGTGTGTGTGCGTGTGTAAGTGCGCGCTTCTGTGGCAGAATTTTTGAGAAAAAAAAATGCTAAAAAAACAAACGAAGAAAACTGACTGACTATACAAATCAAGTTTTTTTGAGAAGGCCAAGTTTTTTTATTGCTGCATATTGTGAAGGTATTTCCATAAGAGCACGAAGTGCAAATACCGAATCAGTATTTGTTGATGCTTCAACGACACTATTATAATTAACAAATTGAAAATTATCAAATTGTCGTGTTGGTAATGAATCGTCAAATTCTTTCATCATATCCCAAGGTCCATCCCCAACACCGATCATAACAATTGATAATGGATAATTACTTGCTTCAACAATAGCATCTTTTGTTTGTCTTTCATTAGTGACTTGGCCATCAGCAACAATCACAAGAATATGATACTAGAATGATAAGAAAATATTTCCAGTGATGAAATTAGTTTAGATTATTTTGTTTTTTCTTGTAAAAAAAATAAAAATGAGATTTCTAAAGATGTTTGAATTCAATAATTTTGCTGTGTATCTTCAGCTGAAAGTATTGAAAAATATGTCAAACTATGATCTTGTTCTCGGCATAATTTATTACTATTATTATTATTTATGGATTTGCTCGCTAACTTCTGTTGATAATTATTTTTAGATGATCGAGTAATAAACAATTACATCGACAAGAACAAATATGCCGAAAATAACTCGATTGTCATTTGTCTATGGTCTTGGTTAATTCGATTAGACAAACACAATGAAAAGTTATAATTTCCAATTGAGAAAAAATGAAAAAATCTTTTCTTTCAATAAACATACTTCTCCTGTTTTCTTCACAATTTTAATAGCTTCCCTAATTAATGGTGCAAAATTTGTGGGTCCAGACATGCGTACTTTCGGTGTGATCTCATTATAAGCTTCGAGAACACCACGAAAACCTTTACAGTAGCTGCCATCTGGCTACAAAGACAGATAATAACACAAAAAGACATGTAATTATCAAATTTATATAAGAAAAATAAACATACACGTAATGAAAAAATTTTTCGATCGAGTGTTGTTCGATCACCAAAACCAAATACTGGTATTAGTGTGTCTGAATCATATTTTTCTAAAGTTCGTCCAACAATCGTAATAACCTAAAATAAAAATTTCATGAGGATGAATTTATTTTTTTTACAAAAAATGCAATCGAATTCTTCTTACACTTTGATATGGATTAAGTAATCCTTCTTCGATATGATGTAGAGAGTAACCACGAAATGAGTTTTTGCCTGTTTCTAAATTACTTATTGTATAATCAATACCGAAAATAAGTTGTGAATGATCAAGACCAACTTGTTTGACAGCATTATTAATTTCTTCTAGTGATGTGAAATCATCTCCAATAACATGTTCATGTGTAGTAGAAGATTTTCCTAAAAAGTATTTTCTTTTATAATCATTTTTATATCTTAATTTTAAATAGAACTTACGAACAACCACCGGTGGACTTGATAAATTTTCTATTGATGGCTTTTCGACAATTGAATTTGTTGATTCTTGCTCAAATCGTGAACGACGTCGTTGCTTTGTTTCTGTTGGTTGTTGTTGTGGCTGTTGTTGTTGTTGTTGTTGTTGTTGTTGTTGTTGTGGCTGTTGTTGTGGTTGTTGTTGTTGTTGTTGTTGTTGTGGTTGTTGTGGTTGTTGTGGTTGTCGTGATTGTTGTTGTTGTTGTGGTTGTTGTTGTGGCTGTTGTTGTGGCTGTTGTTGTTGTTGTTGTTGTTGTTGTTGTTGTTGTTGTTGTTGTTGTTGTTGTTGTTGTTGTTGTTGTTGTTGTTGTTGTTGTTGTTGTTGTTCTTTAGGTAATAAAGATATTTGAACTACATTTTCTTTATTATGAATTTTATTTGTAGAAGGTTTCTGTTGATTTAAAGATATTTTAACTAAATTTTCTTTATTATCAGTATTATCTGTTGAAGTTTTCGGTTGATCTAAACATGTTGATGATGTATTCCGACTGTTATTGTCGTCTAGAATAGAATAGAAAATGATCAATATGCTAAGGTCTGACATATCTTAGGCAAATTATAAACAAAAAAGCAAATAACATTTTTTTCCTTCAACCTGTGACAACTGGTGCTGATGTAATATCCGTTGTATTTACAAATGGATTCAATTTATTTGTTGAATTTGATGGAGATAATGACGCAGAATTTTCTTCAATGATAGTTGGTAATAGTCGTATAGTCGGCGAATGATAATCAAATGGTTCATGAATATGAAGATTATCTTCAAGACTTTGTTGACGTCGTTTTTCATTGAGTTTGATTTCATTAGATTTAGTATATCGACGTCGATAGACAATATAGATGAGAAGAAGAAGGAACAAAGAGATAGAAGCTAGCATTAACATTGATCCATCTATTTGATCGACGTATGACACAGTCGATGTTGATGGAAGAATACATTTTTTCTATTATACAAGTGTGTAATTATAATTGATTGATTATCTAATTCGTTTGAAAAGAATACACAAACCTGTAAATCTGACTTGGAGTGTAAACATTGATCTCGATCACTTTTTGATGCTATTGATGTGATTGAAGACCAACGATTCTACAAAAATTAGATTACACAACTCAATGATATATTTTTATTTAGATAAACAATGTTATTTGAGACATTTTTCTTCATTTATGCTTTCTCAATCGTTTTCCATATCAGACTCATTTGTTATCAACAAATACTTAGTAGATATCAAAGATTTTTCCCTTATCTATAACATCGCTCTTGAATCCTCTTGTTAATATACTTTTAATTAAAAAGACATTAGAAAAACTTTTATTGTCGACGACAATCCAAGAAACTACTAATGAGTTTTATATCATTTAATTTGAAGTGCAAATGATAATGTGCATTTTGTTTTGCTTTTTTCCTTATGTGCTAAGATAACATTACTCTTATCTATGCATAGCACTCCATGGTGATATGTTAATGGTCTTTTCAGTGGGCGTACCACCCCCCTCTTATAGTTGTTCGGTCAGGCACCATGTTTTCTGTTTTTCTGTTTTGTTCTTCAATATTCTACTAGATGTAGCTCTTTTTTTTTCTCTAATATGTTACAGTATTTTTGAGATACTACAATGACGAATACAGTTTGGCCTTTTTTTTTCCATTAACATACATACACATAACTGTTTGTTTTGTTACTATTACTTCTGATTGAAGTGGAAAAAATAAGACAAAAGACGACAGATGAGAAGTTCATATCTTCTTGTTATCGATCAATGAGAACAGATAAATGTGTCAATGGAGATATTTTTTACTTCTTTTGTACTGTTTCACACTTTTATCTATGCTAACGTCAGCATAGCTGGTTAGTCCACTGGTTGACCGATCAATCATCAAATCAATGTAAGAGCACATATTACTGATAGGACAGATTGAATCTTAGCAATTTATCAATGATGAAATCATATATACGTTAATAATTTAGATAGCACATAGCTGTAGAGAAATAATAGAAAATCCTTGAAATATATTTATGATAATGACAAATTAGAAATCAATTGGTGCAGATTCTCATGAGAACAATACAAGCAGACAAATTGCTTATTACACTCTTTTCAACAAGCATTTAGTTATTAATCAAATCTGATATATAATGGTCTTATCACTCTTTTTTCATGTATACTAATGAATTTCTATTTCAAAATACTATACAAATTTTTAATATCTTAATCTTCAATATCTCAAGAGATAAATAAAAGAAATAGATGCTTAGCAATCTCACTCAACTCGATGTAATCATTCGTAAGATTCTATATAAACAGTATGTCTATGACGTAATTCATAAATGCCACTATAGTTTCAATTAGTGTTATTACCTTACTGGACTTTTTGCTTTGTTGCAATGGTTCACACACTGAGTTGTCAGAAGGCCATATTGGCTTTATACCATATTTACCAGAGTGCACGTGCTGTAATCGTGGTAAACTGGATGATGATAACAGGCGTTGCTGTTCTTTGGTTGACGGTTGGACAACACGTTGACGAAAATCGACACGCGACGTAATGTGATTGACCGCATCCAATGATGAATAAAATATTCTCGTCAATGATTTTTCGTATGGATGTTTAAAATATGTCTTCATTGATTGATTTGAAATCGACAGTATACAAAATGCATCAGCGAGTATGTGTTTATTGTTTGTTTCTGTGTCGTCTATTTCACAACATCTGGTGTCACGTCTCTTCAATCTTTACCTTGTTTATTTCTCTCTCTCTCTGTCTCCCTTCTAATGGTTCTTGTTTGTCGAAGATGGTGATAGAATGATAAATCAATTAACAATGAAAAGATTGAGGATAGCCAGTTGCCCGTCAGCCCAATAGTTTTCTAATCTTCGTCAGCCTTCTTCTTCTTCTTCTTTTCTTTTTATGTTGTTGGTTAGTCGTACACTCTTCTATTTATCATAGTATGTATCCGACGCCCAGTGATGTAATTCAAGACGAAGGGAAAGAAAGAGAAACAAAGAACTAGACAAATTCGCGCATCGATGCTAAGTTCCAGCTCTGGCAAATAGTTTGGAATAGATAAAAAAAAAGAGAAAGAATACATACGAGGAAAGCAACACATACACACAGAATATATTGAGAAACACAACAAACAACCTATACCGCATGCTAATTCAATTAAGCTATGGATCATTTCATATAGACCATTCTCATCGACATTCTTTTCATTGTCAATATATATGTATTCATTTTATTTCATCATTAGAAAACGATAACAAAAAATACCGTCGATATGCTTCAGGACAACAGACATTGCACGGAGACATTGATTATTGACCAGCTGTCTAACGTTTTGACTACTCTTGTCATACAAAACCTTGAAAGAAATATATATATATTTATTTGTTTCTTTGTACTTCTTGTTTATTAGCATTTTGATGGTCAAAGGTTTTAAACCTTGACATTAATTGGTAAAACAATATTTCATTCACAGATTGTTTTTTATTCATTTATTAAACAGTAAAGTAATGTCTAATATGATATGACCGAAAAAAAACGTAAAAACTTTCTTGATACAATCTAATCAATGTTTTAACCAGATAAGTAATTTCTTTGTGCATTAAACAATGAGAAAAATGTCGCTTATAATAAGTAATAGAATAAAATATATAATCACAATTGATGTATTTAACATCAAAACTTTAATAATGATTAAAACTTTCAAAACAAAAACTTTATTTTAATAGTCTATGTTAATATACTATTTTATCAATGTATATCATTTATTAACATAAATCTTCATTTGTCAGAAGCCATAGATTATGTCTATTTAGTACAACAAACTAATCAAATGGACAATATGATCACAGTTGTAAGCCATCAAATTATGAATGATAACCTTTATCATCAGGTACTACTAAATAGATAAGAAATAGAAAAGTCAGCAAGAATTATGTTTAAGAATAGATAAATGTCATTATATAGATAAGAATGTACTAGATACGAAAAGCAAAATAGAGTGCCGCATGGACATTCCTATAGTTGTACAGGATTTAAACCTAAGAGATTCTCATGGCTTCTAACTGATATAAACAAGTTAAATGTAAACAGAATTGATTTCACTCAATTGTAAAAAGATATCGATGTAACTATTTTCATAGATAATGATATGATCATTATGCAATTTTATTTGTTCGTGTCAGTAATAATAAGCATAATTCTATTCATAAAATTAAGATTTAATTTTGAAGTATTATTCTTAAAATTTATATATTTTAAAATAATTTATGTTTTACTTTCAACTTTTTTCTTTCATTATAAATATGTTCATAGTTTGACAAGAACTCTTGAGAAACTATAATCATCATATCTGGTAGTAATGCTTGGTTAGCAACGAGTCTACACATTACTAGTTCAGTTCGAAAAGTATTTAGTGCAGTGCAATTAGAATAACTCGTACATATGTTAAATCTGTGGAACAATTTTCAAACCCTAAGGATTCACTAATCATATAAAGTCATGTTCAAAACATTGATATTTACAAAACCAAATCCTCAAGTGATGTCAAAGAAGGTGTCAAGTATTAGATCTGAACGGTGAACGAAATGAAAATCCACTAAAAGAACTTTTATTTATGTATTTACTTCCTGACTTATTCTTATGCTTACTGTACTTTGTGATCTTCGCTCTAAACTGAAAGCTAAAAGTAATAAATCAATTAATCGAACATTACTTGTTGAACAATGATTGTCTTTTGCAATCACATAATATTCCTTATCTTTGTTGATATTCTGGATTGGTACAACATTTCGCAACCGAATCTGGATCAGAGCTATGCGATATTCGGCAGATACTTTCACAGTCATAGTATGATTCTGAAACTTTTATTTTATGTGAAAGAGTATACTATTTAGTTTAGTTTCTTTGATAAACAACCACAAAGATAAAATGAAATTATCTCAAATTTCATAAAACAGCAATTCATTCAGAATTTATTTGGTATCTTCGTGCTTCTATCAAATTAGATCGATATCATTAAGTACACATTTGCTTATTGTTTATGATGACGCCGGAATGGAACGCAGTGCTAATGCGAAACGTCATAATTGTAAATAGATACATCCATCATTATCTGAAAATGAGTTTTCATTGAAAACAAATTCTTTTAGAAAAAACAATATAGCTTTCTACTTCTGTCACTTGTTCTCAAATGCAATAAACTGCTCAATGAAAAAATAAAACTATTTCGAAAAGTCGAGATTACATCCATTGTTCGATTGGATACGGAAATGTCATCATACCTAAACACATGATCTGAATCATACAAGGTATCTGATCCAGCTACAAGACACTGGTTTAGACGAATAATTTTGAAAGAGAACATCATGCAACTACATTTGTCATTCGAGATATTATATGATTTCAATTATCTGTCTTGTTTGAAAAATATAATCATTATAATTCAATTATCGAATGATTCAAAACAAAAATTAATAGTTGATCATAATAAAACAGAACAACGATTAGGAAAAAAACTTTCTGTAAATTATTTTCATGCTCAGCTTATTTTACTATGCCTATTGCAATGAGTTTCGCTTGTAAGAAAATATAATAAATGTATGAGAAGTTTTTCTCATCACAAAAATCCGTTAGTTTTAGGCTCTTTTTTTGAAAAGACAACTTTTAAATATTTTTGTGTTTTATTCAGAACCATAAAATAGTTTTATTCATTATCACAAAATAGAAAAAATCATCGATCAAAAAATAAAATAATCTTCTTGAAAACAATAATAGATTATCATTTTGATAGCTTTTTTCTTAGAATATCATGTTTATTAATATGAACACTATTCATTTGCCATCTTCGGATACTTCTTTTTCCAACTTCCGTGAAAAAAGTGCGCAATACGTGCTTCTGGATGATTTGGTCCTCTTGCACCCATATCAAAAGCAGACGGCTGAAATCCTGTTATTGGTAAAATATAAACATCACCAATAAGTCGAGTATGATCTAATTTTGTTAGTGTAGGCCATTGCACATGATATGTTTCATTAAGATAATCAAATACAGTATCTGTCCAAAGGCCTGGACCTGTCCAATTCATAACAATACTTATATTTATTGGTTTATTAAAAAAGTGTTTTGTTTGTGTCACAATATTTTGTATCATTCGTTTCAGTATATGATGATATGGTTTTGCAGCAAATGTCCATTGACATAGTTGAAGTGGTCGAGCGAAATCTTTTTTCCAGGTTGGACCTTCTGCTTCGACACCAACAATAAGACCAACATTCGTATGATTATCAGTCCATGTATCAATAGGTCGTAAACATTCTGTATCAATATCTGAATAAACTCCGCCAAGTATATAAATGGCAATATATCGAAAAAAATCTGCTTTTAATACTGCTATAGGCATGATTTCATAAGCATGAACAACAGCTGATGACATATGTTTACGAACAAACTTTTCTGCTTCGGTATCATTAAAAAATAAATAAGAATGATTTGGATTGAGTCGTCTAAATGATTGACTGTTTATCCAACCATCACTGTTTTTGGTACCCGTTTGAATGATATTTCGCGGAATGGATATTTTATTATACTTTGTCATTTGCATTGGAATGGCATGTTGAGTGATAATTACTTCGTCATATGTTGAAGAGAAATGTGAAGAATAATATATTAATATGATAGAAAATAATGTTGGAAATGTAATAAGAATAGTGACCTTATAGTAATAACGCATTTGAAAAATACTCATGTTCAAAATGCAACATAATACGCCTCACAAACCAGTCAGGCGTAACTAACTTTGATTGGTGATAGTGAAGAACGATGAATAGTCATGTGTTCTATCTATTGTATATAAATTGTATATTGATGATCGAAAATATTTTTATAGAGTACAATTTATAAAGATGTCATTGTAAAATGCATGACGGAAGCAATAATTTTTGGACATGTGTATCACTAGGTCTTATGATAAGCCAATAATAAATTAATATATCTCGTTCATGATTCACTATTTTGACATCATAATATATAACTTTAATCATTATGGAAGTTTTTTATGCTATAGATGTTATGCCTCTAAAAGTTTCTTAACACTCTCGAAAATACAAATTATAGTCAATATACTTTTGTTAGATCATAATAAGTTTCAAATCTATGATTTAAAACATGGATTTGAATATTTATTCAAATATTAAACGAATTTGTATTTGCAGATCTTTGTATAAAATTGGAAGTCATATTTATTTGTGTAACAAAACATAACCATGATAGTTTGAGTATTTCGACTAATAAGTAATGAATCGTGAAAAATTGACTCGAAATTATGCATATATTTGATTTCAATGATGCTAAAAATAATTAAATAAATGAATTTTACTTTCGACGATGACATTGTGGAGATTTTATCAGGATACGAATACTAACGTGTAAAAGATACAAAAGGTTATCATATTTCACTATAGTCAAAGAAATCAAATAAGCAAAAGGATATTTTTATCATCTATCATTTAGCAATATGTGGAATAGTTACGAATATACTTGATAATTTGTAAGTTTTAATGCAAAAAAAGTTTCATAGTAGGTTCATATTTGAGAACATGTTCAATAGAATGAAGTATGATATGTTACAAAAAACAAATAGCAGAAAATAAAATGTGAGGACCTATCGAAAGTAGAGGTAGAGGTACTTTAATTCCTTAAAAAAAAACCTAAAGAAATTTTTTCTCCATATGGACTTACTCTCTTTTATCATCGCTTTTATTGCCTAAGCGTCTATATATATAAAGTTCTGAAGACTAGTAAAGAAGAAAAATTTGATCAAACAAAACTTCAGTGATGAAACAATTCTAAATCAATACATCGTGCTATAACCGAGTTTATGTGCTTTTTAAATAAAGAAGAGTATAGAAAAATGTTCGACAGATAGATTTAACGAATGCAGTTTCTACTGTCGACACTATTTTTTATACTCTAATATTTATAGAATTTTATGTATCAAGATAGAGGAGAAGACTAAGAAGAAAATACATATCGAAGACAATATGATGAACTAATGTAACTGTTACATATAGTAACCAAACAGATATTATCAAGATTTTATTACTATGATATTGCTTCAAGAAGGATGTAATAGCACAGAAAAATAGAACGTCGTTTTTGCTTTCGGTCCACATAGAGAAAAGGTTTCGTTAAGCTTTTTATACAGAATTAAAGTATTTCCACCAGTACTTTTGGTATGCCATAAGTAATAAGATAACAACAAGTTGGTATTAGTTGACTATCAGATTTATGTTTTTTTTTTGACAGTCGTTCCATTTTTGAACAAATTTAATATTCGCAAATCAACGGAAGCAGCTAATAAAACATTGAAGATGAATTATCAATTACATGATTTTCATAAGCGGTTGATCAAAATATTAAGATTAAACGAATATGAGTTATAGTCTCATATTCTATTTGCAACAGCAAGGCCGAGCAAGTCAAACTATTTTTGTCATTTTTTTTCGTTTTCGGTCTGTTTTTTTCATGACATGATATATTTGTTTCGAGTTGTTATGCACAAAACAAAATAAGAATAGGAATATCATCTCTTGTCTTTCATACAGCTCTATGAAATAGATAATAAAAAACATTAATTTTATACCTGATTCCACTTAAAATGCAAATGTTATTTTGCAATATATTTGAACAATATAATCTCATTAAAGATCGCTTTGAGAAAACATACATTCAATTGGTGCTAATGTAACATGAATACATATGAGTATTCTAGTAAATTTATTATGAGACTCATATGAATTTTTTTCTCTTGGAAAACAAGATCATTGGTTAAAATTTCTTTCAAGAGAAAACCATGAATTAGTTCTGAAACTGATTTTGGTCTTGAATTATCAATTTTTGTTTTCTTCTTCAAGAAATCATTCGGACTTATTCAATTCTCAAAAATAGATTTAATATTTTGTACATATAAATATCATAAGAAATCAATCACGAATAATGGAAACAGGACGTGCATTATTCACATAAGCTTTTTATGAAACACAATCTTTAAGAGAAGTATTGAAGAGTAAAGGAATGAAAATGTGAACATCCCACACTCAGACCCTATATGAATCGCTCCCTTTTTACAGTTCGAGACGATGAAATAAATGGTGATGAAGAAATGTATCCCAAAATAGATCGAATAAAAGAAATTTCATATATTTAACAACAAGAATTACATCGTGTTCCACATGTTAGTTCCACAGGTATTACACTAACTGCTTTTCAACGATGATGGAATTCCATAAGTTCTCAACCCCGAGAACTCACGGAACCTGCACACATCCCCATATATGACTTATACTTCTTTATTGATGCTGACAGCATAGAAAATAAAACTAGCTTACATATACTAGAGTCATCTATTTGTATTAATACATATTGGTAAATCTTAGTTTGCATCAGAATTAAGATGATGAAGAAAAAAAAACTGTACAACAATATACATTGGATCAAATTCAAATGGAAACATATTTCAACAAAATTGATTCTGGGTCGCATAGTTTATTTTTCAGATATAGTCGCTACTTATTGAATAACAATGCCAGCTGTACCAGCAGGTTATACAAGTGGTGGTCAAATGAACAAACCAACTTGTTTTGATCGTGTTAAAATTGGTTTTGCAATGGGTTTTACAGTGGGTATGGTTACTGGAATTGTTTTTGGTGGTTTCACTGCACTTAGGTATTTCATGATTAAATTTATGTTTTTAGAAAATGTTTATTTGTGTGTATGTTTTAGATATGGTTTACGTGGTCGTGAACTTCTTTCAACTATGGGCAAATCAGTGGTATCAGCGGGTGGAACTTTTGGAACATTTATGGCAATTGGAAGTGCTATTCGTTGTTGAAAAAAAAACAGAAAAATAATTTCGCTTTCTTTTCTAAAAACACATCGTTGATTTATTTGTCAGTTTTGTAGAAAATAAATAAAAATTCAGCTAAACCCTTCAGTTAACGCTAATCATTATAATTTTATTTTACCAAAAGTAAAGACTCAATCTCATGTATTTTATAATACCAAAGCAAAGTTTCATAGAAACAGATCAATTTATTCATAATATTGGTCAATGTTTTATTCTTCTACGAAAAAGAACTCTGTTTGATCAACTGTTCAGAATTGTTATGATCAGTATCATGATTAATAAACATGAGAAAACCAGTTTTTTTTTTCAAAAGAAAGTGTAACATACAATATAAAAAATATCTTCTTAACTGTGTACTATTTACTCACAAGAAACATTTATTTTTTGTAGGTTTCTTTTCAATAGCTTTTTGATTTCACACAAAATGTAAAACAAATGAATGTGTCTAACAGAATATCAATTCCATATACGTACCTTCTGGTTCGTTGACTGAGAGCACAAAATTTTCATATTGATTTAAGTAAGATTCCCATTCCCGAAGGAATGGGAGTGGACCGAACTCGACGGCACTGCAGTGTCGAGACGATCCGTGGCACGGGTCCGAGTGAACTCGGGTGAGCCCGCCCGATGTACAAAAATCCGCTTGAAAGAGCCTGGCCCCAATGGGACCAGCGCCGGCTTTCAAACCGACGAGAACAGATACTACACTTTGATCTTAGCCGAAAAGGCCGAGAAGCGATAACTATTGCACTTTGATACAGGGCACGACATCTGTATTGTCCTTACACATTTCATATGGATGTGAGAGAAAAGTAAAATAAAATGCATAAGAACGAAAGAAATGTTGACATGCGCATGTGAAAGAAACAAATTGCTTATTACAACTTTTTACACCAAGAGGTAAATGATCGATATGATCGCAATACAGTCGCGATGACGAAGTGCTAGTGCTTAATGCTTTGTTATTCGGTGCCCGAGCGACACTTTATTGGAATAAAAATGATATATTGCTAAAAAGATAAAACAACCAATACTTATTCAAAACTTTGCTACTTAATAATGATTTTTCTGATGAACTATTCTAATCTCAACTATCTTATGTATATTTCTTCATTGCATTTAGTTTTATCAAATTCGTTAATTTAGCTTTAATAATAAATACAATAAACGATTATTTCTTCCATCTCATGTGTTATATATTGATTTTTTCTTTAAACTAGAGTTTATTGTGTTTTTTGTTTGTTTCCCTTGGTATTTGTACAGACAAAGTTGATTTTGTGCTTTTATAACAGAAAAACCAAATTGTTTATTATATTTATACCAAGAGGTGAATGATCATCTCTGGTTAAAACACACTTAGCAATGACGAAAATATGCGGGTGGAGCATTCGATAGCCTGCCATAGCAACATTTTTTTAAATTTTAAACCAATGAAAAGTATCTTATCAATCATTTTCTTACTCATGAATTAGTTTGTACTATGTGTATGTTTTTGTTTTCTTTTAAAAATGGCTTCAGTTATTTTAACTTCTTTGAATTTTCTTAGAATAATTACTATTATATGAAATTCTTCATGAATATATCAGATATGAATTGTAAAAGAATACGATATTAACGAAGAGTGAATTGAAGAGAGCAAATGTCGTACATATACACAATTTTTTTTTTCTTGTGTTAAACTTCATCAAACGAGTTTCTTTTAGTATAGCAGGATAGAGAATATTTGCTACATCACATACATATGTACTTCAAAAAATGTTCATATATTATTTTTTTGTATTAATGAAAAACGTTAGAAGCTTCAAAATCTTAGATGTTCAAATGAAAACTCAGAAAGTATCGGATTGCTATTTTCTTCATTAAAGCTGTTTAAAAGAAATTGATTTCAAGATGAAAAAGGTGCAGAATTTTTCGGACTATTCACCCGCATGTTATTGTTTTATATGCTCGCTTCTTATTGCTTTGCGATAGAAAAAAATGTAAAAATCCATTTATTGCTGGTGAGGTGATGATAGTTTATTTTGAACGATTTTGTCGAAGCCTTGAGTTCGAAAAGTAATTGGTGTTATAAATCAGAAGATGCAGAATTTCATGTTCTACAAAATTAATCTTTTTCTAAATTTGCATCATTTTAATGACAGATGATAGAGTTGAGATATATTTGCTCAAAAGGAATTACGTTATAATTAGTTTATCACCTAGTTTTTTAGCTTTTATAAAGACTAACAGGTGAAAACTAATAATATGGCTTAATATAACAATTTTTCGATAAGATTAAAAATAGCCATGAATATTATTTGTATTGTGAATGATTACGTTAGATTCTATCAGTTATTTTTTTTATTTACTTTCTAAATTAATTCAAAAGATCGGTATAATTGAATATCTATCAATAACTAATTAAAATATCACTGTCTGAATTTTTTTGAAGTTAATCAACGAAAAATGTGATTCTCACATTTCATGATGTTTATAACTTTCTTATAGCTTATATGTGAAACTGATTCGTGTCATCATTATTTCACGTATGAAGAATTTTTCTTGACTAACTTTATTATGAATAGTTAGTTGTTCATTTTATTCATGTTATACGTAACAATCTTCCTATTTTACGTTAAGATAACTTGTAGTTTTCTTTATTTTAAAATTCGAAAACGTTAAATTCTAATTCAATATATCAATAATATACAAATATTTAGTATAATACAATTTGCTTGAATAAAATAAATGGTCAAACAAAAAAAGGATTATTAAAGGGAAAAAAATCCAATTATTTTCTGATTGCGATTAAATTATTTACATAGGTAATGATAAAAAATAATAACAGACTTCTAATATATATTGTTTTTCATACATCCTAACACTAATATTAGATGAAATGTCAGAAAAATGTCATATTACAAAGATATAATTTATGATAGAAATTTTATCATATAACAAAATTAATGTACAACAAGAAAGAATTGTTTGTTTATTGTATTTATTTGCCTGTCGGTTTATAAAAACACGTTGTGACAAATTTTTGTTTATAACGTGCCGTTGTACTCAATACCATAACACCATCCTAAAGATTAAACAATTATTTCTATAGAATTTCTTATGTTAACTTACGCGAATCGATAATGCATAAAGATGTTTTAACATAACATGATTTGGTTCAGGTAATAGGGCAGGCTCATACTAAAAATACATAGCTCGATTGAACCATTTAGTAAATAGAAGAGAAAGCTTTACATGAGCAGATGTATCTTTATTAAGAATAATATTAAGAAGATGTGGTGGTAAAAATGGTGGTTTATCTCCGGGTGTAAATTCTTCGCGTTTTGTTGGTGGCCAAGTTTGATCATAAAGACCAGGTGGTGAACGAGCCATTTGAGGATCATCAGCTATTGAATAGAAATAATTCGAAATTAAAAGCAAAAGCTACTAGATGATAGGTTATCAACCATGTTAATTTGGAGCTTTTTAGATGAACTGTTTCATTGAATTTTGAACTGTCCTAAAGTGTGCACATCGACTATAATGAACACAATTTTTTAGAAAATTCTCAGTTGAGAAAGTATGCATATTTTTTCCAACAGAAAAACTGTTCAAACAAATCTTTTCATATAGAACGATAAGGTAAGAGAACTAAGATTTATTCCTTAGGATCGTTCTATTTTCTTTGAAAAATAAAATACTTTCATCTCAAATGATGGAAACTTGGTCATTTTTTTGTTTTTGAACCTAGGATTTTCCCGAATTCTTAAAGAGCTAAGTGTAATCTGAAGAATTACCAAAATTTTGATATGTATCTGTTGTATGAATTAAAATAGGTGTATTTTCTGCATAGAAAAAAAAGATTTGAAATTGAAAAACTTACCATTTTCTAAGAAACGTGATATGCTCTATAATCTGAACAGATCGAAAAGAATTTTTGGCAAAAAGTTTTTTTAGTCTGGAAAACCAGCATATAAAGATGAAAGTGCATTTCTCATAGAATGAAGATAGTCGATAATCTATAATTCAATAACTTTCGGTGAGAAAGTAATTGATCAGTTGAAAGTGTTATCTCGTTAGAAACGCTTACATTTTTGTCTATTTAAACTTGAACTTTGATTATTAACTAAAATAGAATCCGATGTGAGTGCTTCCATAACTTCGAAATCACTTTTTTTCACAGTAACAACATTATTGCGACCATTTTGTGCATCTTCTACTGATGGCTGGAAAAAAGACAAACAAATAAGAACTCTAATTTTGAATTGAAAAAAGAAAAACACAAATTTTTATTTACCTCATTTAAATCATATTCTGATCGACCATCAATAAAAAATTTATATTCATGTTTACCTTCAGGTAATTCCAGAATAGCAACAAAATCATTATCACTAAAGAATTATATATCATATTTTCATATTATCTATCATACAAAAAAAACAATTTACCTTTTAACCATTGCTATTGTCTCTTTCCAATTAGTAAATGAACCAGCTAATAAAGCTTCTTTATCTTTTGGTGAAGCTGGATATTTGAAAACAACTGGAATTGTTCTTTTTTCATTTTGTGATTCTGTATTTGCAGCTTGTTGTGTATTTTGTTGTTGCATTTGACGCTGAAAGCGTATACGTATTGGTAAACTCGGATTTTGTCTTGATGAGGTCTACATATTATAGAAAATAAATAACAGGGAAATTCTATGTTTTGTTCTCTAGGTTTATCAACGTTACTTTTTCGTCAAATGATGATAAATTGCTATTCAACGTTGACTCATTGCCCAGAGTGACAAAACGGCCGTCTTCGCCGTCTCGTTCGTATCGTGTGTAGGTATCGCTACGAATACGACCCGTTGGCTGTTGATTACCCATCAGCTGACAGAATAAAATAAACAAAACAATATTTATGTTTTTGTTAGTTAGACAACAACAAGAACGAGTTATTCCAATAACTCACCAAGTAGTCTACAAGCTGTTAATGTGTAAATATATATATTTTTTCTAGTCTAA